ATTGTAGCGTAAGTAACATATATCTATATATCATGAATAGGGAAATTAGAGAAAAGTAAGAATTTCAAGTTTGTTAACACTTCTAATTTCGGTCAAGATTTACCTGATACGACCCAATCTAAGTGATAAGTGAAAAAACAATTGAGTGGAAGGGGTCCAAAACATGATTTTTCCAAACTTTATCTAAATCTTCATTTCGTCCGTCTCATCTTTCTCTCCCCAACCACCACTGACACGTTCCTATGATTCCTTAAAGGATGCTGAACAGGGTCTTTCATTCTATTTTTCGGCTTAGTCCAGAGGGACAGCATTAGTACCTGGTGGGAATGAAACACCAAAAATTTTGTAACTACAGATAGACAGACGCACGGATAGAAGGAAATCATATACCCTATGTTTGATCAATACTCCGAAAAAAAAATAAGGGAGAAGAAGGTACCTGAAAGGAAAATAGAATGACCCATCTCACATGACCCAGTTATACACATAAACATGAGGATAGTGACCTTACCGAAAGCCCCAGCTGCTCCGACAATGATGACCAGAATTAACGAGCGCAACTTTCTAATGGGGTGTCGGTGCAAATCATGTGCAATTGGCCTGTCTGCGTACCAGCTGCTGCGAAGGTCACGAGAAGGTACATGTGCTTCGTCAAATGACGCTTGCGGTAAGATAGCGAGGCCGACGACCTGACAAGTTTTCTCAATCGTTGACAGCTCATTAACCGGTGGTTTTTACATCTCCTACGCTGTAACGTTATCACGAAATGCTCTCTATAGTACCTTTTAAATATTTCGGAATACTGATCAGACACTGTGGTTAGAGTAAAGGCTATCGGCGCGATTCACCCTTACCTCTTATAAAAATAAAAATACTGCACCAAAACAACAGGTTACAGTCTCCAAACAGCAAATTTAATTTTCTTTTCTTTTTCTGACAATGAGTTCAACTATAGAAGTCCTGTTTATTTTGGTCGCGCTTTAAACATCATTGAAGGACTTACACTTGCTCTAGGGAAAAATACCTAACAAAATTACGTTGAAAAGCGGTTTGTTTTTGAAAGCTGAAGCACTCAGCAACCGAAAGTTTTCGATACCTCTCTCTCACCTCTTAATTCCGAACGCAAACATTGCGAGAAAGGTAAACGATGTTTGTCGCTGAGTCACGTAATAATGTGACACCGACGATGTGAGCAAACATTAGGGGATGTTATAAAGAGGCCTTTTTGCATTTTCCTCGCGGTCCAAATATTTTTCTTATATATGAATACAAAATGACGAAACGCCTCTGAATAATGTATGCCGGCTACAAAAAATTCTCTGCTTGATTTATCGACGAATCGGTAATAGAAGAAAGAGCCAGAATTTGGCGACATCAGCTTCACTTATTGCCAAAAAAAGTTAAATAAAAACCTAGATGTCGTGTTAAAATGAAAGTTCTTTTTATTTCAAGGAACGAGAACCTGTTACGTGTCCTATAAAGCAAATCATTTCTGTATACTTCATTTTCTTTCTCTAGCGATGTGCCCCTTCCAATGTCTTGAATGCTCGCTGGAAAAATCGTAGGTAGGGAGAAAAACGCTCATTATACTCTCGACTCTTGTTCATTAAACGTACTTTTTCATACAGTACCTGCCAAAAGTTTTGTTCAATCATGAATAGTAGTGCGAGTCGAAAACAAGCGTTAAAGCCTTTAATATGTCTTCAAATATAAATAAACATCTCGTTGATATTTT